GGGGGGGTAGCAGCGACAGAGCGGCCTGAATGGCCGAGCCCGAGCGTGTCTGCCGGCACCTGGACCGTAGCCACGAGCTTCCTGCGGATAAACTGCAGACACGGGGGCCGGTGTGTTTGGGTAAGTGCCGTGCCAGATCTAATGTAAATAGCCTCAGTCAGCAGTCCCCGTTACTCATTCCGTCAGGAGGAGAAGGAGGCCGTTTACCGAGCCCCGCCGAAGGTACTCTGTCCTCCGGTGCCGCTCACCTCAAAGTCGGCGTGCTTGTGGATGTCCTCGGCACGCTGCCGGCTCAGGATGAACTCCGCCTCGTTGGCCACGCGCACCAGGTGGTCCTTCATGGTGTGGCTCAGCAGCCTGGGAGGGGAGGAGCGGCTGTTTAGGGGATTCCATGCGACCCACCCCGACGTTTGGGGCACGAAGGGAGACACAGCCAAAGTATATTTACACAGACATGCCCATTACTGGGCCTATAGCACAGGCAAGGCTGCTAGGTTTGCTGCAAGAAAAAGAAGAAAATAATTACACTAGAACCAGAATTAATTAAAATCACACTCTAGCACATATTTTCACCTAATTTTACCACAACAAACTTCTGCATTAAATTTACAGTAATGACTTAATTTAACAAAATCCATTCAGTTTTTCAAACGCTAAAGCCCTTTTCTTTTATAACAACATAAAAGACTTTACAGTCACAAGAGCACGGCTGAACAATCGCCATCAGAGCTAAATTACTACCAGATTTAATTAGCAGCTGATGCTGGACTTCACTTCAGTGAGCGCTAATTGATTTGTTAATGATATGCATCTGACACTGAGGGTTTTCGCCAGCATGCTGCACATGCAGGGAGTCCCGGCGTTATCTAGACCAATCAGACACTGGTCGGGGGCCACATCCAGAACAGCTACGGGCCGACCCAGGGGTCACGGCAGGTCAGGGCCGTCGACATGGCGAAACAATAACAGACTCCTTCACGAAGACCGTAATCAGAATCCGGCAAATCAGCAGCAGGAACACGGCGGGGGCGGGGGCGGGGGGGGCGTACTGCCGGTTCCCCTTCGACAGCCCTGCCGCGGCGATCTGAGACACAGCCCCCCCTTTCCCAGAATACACTGCAGACAGCGTAAACACGAACACACCGCAGGCAGAGGATGCAGCTCTTTAATCCAGCCTGGGTTGAGACACAGCCGGGTCCGGTCACGGGGACTAACCGGACACGGCACCGAGTGAGAGCCGGCAGAGTGTGGCGCGTCCCCAGGGCGGCGGGATGGAGATTTCCCAGGTGTCTGCAGGGATCAGGGCCCCATCAGGCCGGCCAAGCCCCGGAGAGCGAGGGCACTATTGATGGAGTCTTGAACTCTGGGGGGCCCCACCTCACCACATCTTCTGTCCGCACAAAATTGATTTTTACTCAATAGCGGCTGCACACCGGCAGCGCCCGGGGCGCTGTATGGATCGGGGGGGACGCGGGATAATGAAGAGGTGGCCGGCGGGGGTCACGGCTCCAAGGAGGGGGGTGGGGGACCGTTACCTGCCCTCATTGACGAGCTCGATGAAGGCCAGACCCGCGTTCTTCTGAATAGAGTTCTGCCATTCCTGAAACACACACAAACAGACGATGCCTGCGTTACACCACCGGAGAGGGAGTGGAGGTACCAAGGTTAGGTCCGCGGGCCAGCGAATGGCGGCAGATGTGCATCGAGACAGAAGGAAATGATGCGTTCATCCTGGAAGGAGGCGTGCAGCTGAGGCGACCTGAAAGGTCACGCAGCCTGAAGGTGCCTTAATGACAACTTCGTTACACTCCAAATTAAAGACAGATAACCACATTTAAAACTCATTGTTAAATACACACATACATATACGTAATATCTGAAAACAATATTATGCCAATAATTCTGATACACATTATTTTCTCATTTGCCCGCGTTAATCTAATCAGGAGCACATTATGGCCACACATTCGCACACAGAATCTTAAAGCCTATTGCAGCCAGCAGCAGCAAATAAGTATCTGGGTCCCGAGGGGGGGGGGGGGGCATGTGACTAGGGGTCTACACATGGCACTCCTGAGATAAAGGTGGAAGGTCAGCAGCGTTGTGGGGGGGGGGGGGTAGAGCTGATCGCAGGTGGGAGCACAGCCGCAGGGCCATGGTGACCCACCTCGTGTTTTCCGATTAAAGCAAGAAATTCCACTTTCTTCACCTACGTGATCCATTTACTGTGCTGCAGTCCTGGGAAGTATGAGTCAAACAAACGACAGCGACGTAAACAGGGAAATGGTCATGGATTGGCGTGGACTGCAGGCATCGCCACGGAAACGTCACCTAGCGGCTCTCGGGACCATGTGACGTTCGGCTGAGCCCCGCCACCACTTGCCGTGGTTAGGGTATAAGGCGCTGTGGGGACGGCCCGGCATTTCAGCGCAAAGCTAGAACGTAAATTTCAGTGTGTTGGGTGGTGGGGGGGGGAGGGGGGCGAAAGTGAACCCCGGGTGGAAGGACATTAACCATGAGGCCCGGCGGCCTGGGAAAACGCCGCTCCAGAGGCTTAAAATACACACTACAGGAAGCGGGGCCATAAACAAATCCCCCCCCCCCCAACAACGATGCAACTTCCTGTGCAACCAGGACCCATCTGACTCACCACAATCACTACAGATTTTTATCCTTTAACAAAAGCAGATCATTTCGCATTTGACAAACACACAAATAATCTCTTACTCCGCTACCTCCCTGAATCTAGACGTTTATAAAGAATTAATGATTAAATAAAACTACAATTTACTAGCAATTTAATTTAAGCGATCGCCAAGAACAGAAGTTTATTTCCAATGGGTAACATTTAATGTAAACAGCAGCGGTAAGAAACACCTCTAGGTTAAAGCAGTCGTCCGGCCTACAGCGGCCCACAAACGCAACCAAAAGAGCTTCAGATGTTATCAGGAGGACCTTGCTTTAATCAGCCCTGGCAGCCTTTATGACAGCAGCATCCATTCGATTCCTCCCCTGATTAAAGGATACAATCCCTCGTTTGCGACCTCTGACCCTGGCCCTTCCTCGAGGACCTCGTCCACATGGCCGGCAGCCCAGATCCTTCAATGTCCGAAAGGCCCGTCACACACGGCGTGTAGCGACACCGCTCAAAATATGAGCTTTCCCAAGAAAAAAAAATAAAATAAAAAAAATTTCCCAATTCCGAAACTACTACCCCGTGGCTCTGCTTGGATCAAGCAAAAGAAAACGGCGATATGCAAATACGGTCTTGCAAGAACGTCAGGTCAGAAAAACGCTTATCAGGAAGTGATTTCTGTGCGTGGAACTGATGAAAGTCCTCAGCACGCATCGCAGTTCCTGATTTATCACTTTCGCATGCCGTCGTTTCATCAGGCCCCAGCGGAGACTCTGAACCCGCCACTTTCCCTGAGGGAAGCTTGCGGAAGGTGTCGCCACCAAATCAGTCACGCCACCGAGCACGGCGGGCCATGTCACGGACATCGCCGGCGTGCCGTGCGGTGCCACAGGCCAGCCGAGCGCGCAGAGGCTGCACTGCCACTACACTGCCACTGCACTGGGCTGCTGTCAATCAGCGGCTACCCAGCGGAGTTTGTTTAGTCTCAGGCTGATGAGGTCGGCGGCACCTTCGGTGGCTCTTCTGCGGCCGCTGATTTAACCAAACAAGCGGCTGTAAGCAGAGCCGCGTGAGGCAAGGCAGGCCTCGTGCGAAACGGCGAGTGCGTGGCGGGAAAACCGCGCACACTTCCATCAGGTCCCAACGGAAGAAAGCGAGAAACCAGAATCGCCGTTTCCATTCCGGTGGACTTATTTGGAATTATTTTATTAGCTAAAAAAATATATTCATATGTGTGTGTGTGTATAATATTTATTATTTAAATTTCATCCTATTCAATAAGAAGCTATTCACAACAAAAATTGATTTTGAACCAAGACAAGTGATGTAGACTAGCTGTACGTTTTTTTCTTACAATTGTTGAAACAAAGTTGTTCTGCAGGTATTTTGCCATAAAATGATTTAATGCCGATTCTTAAAAAATTCATAAGCACACAAGATTACACTATGACAAACTATGCATTTATATATGAAATAAATGTCATGCATACATCACATGTACATTGGCTGGTGTGTATATTTGTCACATATACATTTTATCTTGCAAGCGACAGTAGGAGGGTAGAGTGTCATTATCTCCCCGCTTGGTGGAACACAGTCATCCAAGCAAATACAATATTTAAGACGCCTCACCTTCAAATGAATCCGATCCACAGCTGTATTTAACAGCCATCTATATTTAATAATGGAAAAACCAGCTTCGGGGGAAAAGCGGTTTATCAAGTTATACACTGAGCGGCATTTCATAAATATCACCGTCACTGAAGGCCATCCTTCACGGGGACGACGGAGCGGTCGGCCCCCCTGTGTCACATGACGTCCGCGCGAGGTCCGATTCCGCACCTGGCCTCGCGAGCGGCACGGCTAACACTCGCACGTCCGCCGATTTTTATCTCCGTTAAAGCAAACATACTCCTTAAAGGACTATTCCCCGGTGAGAACGAAAAGTCACGGTGCGTGGAATTACAAAGCAAAAAAAAAAAATTTAAAAAGGGAGCAAATATTTATTCTATCAACAACCTAGAAGAAATAAAGTAAATATATAAATAGATTGATATGATAAGCCCTTCCTGAACACGGAGGGGTCCGCATGCGTGGTGAGAGAGACTTTTAGAGGATCATCACCTCTCTTTATTGGAATCATTTGTAAAAACACAGACGCCGACACCCCCCGTCCGTTCCCAACTCTCAGCGGTGTAGACAGTGTTAATCAACAATCCACACTTCAATTACCCCACAAAAACAACAGTACAAGGGCTCCTGTCTCGAAGCATGCCGCCATTGTCCGATAAACATCTCCCAGGAATGGACCGGAAACCCCTCAGTCACAGAACAGAAATGAAGGTTTCTTTATACTTAACGTTGCAGATTCTTTTTTCATGTCAGATTCAAAGCATTAGAGACATTTGCGTCCCCCCGACATTTCCCGACACACAATGAAAAATATTTTTAAAAATGACAGAATGCAAACATTTCCAGCACTCCTAGTAAAATGGATGTGGGGCACTGGTTAGAGAATCTAGCTGTGAGACACAATTACGTTTCTGTACGAACTGCTGCAGCTTAAGGCCGTCTTGCTTTTCATGTCCCAGGCCGGAGCAGGACGGCCGTAAAACAGCCGGAGGCAGAATGAAAACCCGCTTCAATTTAGGGCGTCCCCAGAGCACCGAGGGCCGCTTCCTGTCAGGAAGAGGTGCACAGCTCCCATCAGAGGGATGGGGGGTGGGGGGGGGGAGGGAAGGGGCCTTAAGTGGCAGTTTGTTATTATTTCATTTGTGCCGTTTCACCTTTTGTTTTAGCCAGAGCACACGAGTGAGAATGACCGCCGTCGAGCACGGCGTGACACCGACCTCTCAGGCAACACAGACGGGGCCATGAGGGGGTGAGACACACGGCCTTGGGAACAGAGAGCAACGCGGGAGAGCCGTCGCAGTGATCCCCTTTTAAACACGCGGCGCTCCAGCTCTGAACCTCGCCGCAGTGTTTTCACAAGCAACAGGGTGTCGCTCTGGCTGCGCTGGGCAGAACGGATCATTCTTCCTCTGTTTTTGCCACATTCCATCTCCCCCACCCAGGTACCAAGGCCTCGCCATCAAAGCCCCTGCCAGCAGTGATCTGAAGCAGGACCTGCAGTCACGTGTTTTTTTTAAACAATATATGTTGCTGTATCATTCCACCAAACTGGAGACAAAAGACGATTTCTCACTGTCAGACCCCGGTGTCCCCAAGTGAAGAGTATCGATCCGCGGGCCAGTGAGGACCCCTCCCCGGCTGCTCCCCGCCTGCAGGGGGTTAAACTCCGTACCCTCACGGCTCTCTATTTTCAGCCTAGAGGTCAAGGGTCGGTGGGAGCCAAGTACTTTGGGAAGTCAATGTCCACCCCCACCCATTTTCCAAAGGTGCCCATCTGTTAAACAGGTTAACTATACTTTAACGGGCAGGATTAGCCAAAAGCGAATACTGATGATAATCACAGTCATCACTCATCCCTGCATTACCGATATCCAATCAGAATGCTGATTTGATCCCAGGTGACCATGGGACACGATGCGTTTAACAAGAGCATCAGCACCAGTAAATTTACCCCTAAACAGAATTAAAAGGTAAAAAAAAAAAAAAAAAAACATCACATGGTGCAAGCCCAGTGACTGACCCGTACAGTCCACAGTGCACTGCATGTAACCTGGCCTTTACTGGCTCGTGTTATTACACAACAAAAGATAAAATGACAGTGAATGAATAAGGTATGGAGGAGAAAAAAAAACACAAGCTGAAAAGGGCTCTGATGAAAATTGCATGGCCTGTTCCATTCCTAAGGGGTCTTGGAGGGGGGGGGGGGGGCAAAAACCCCACAAAAAACCCCCAAAAAAAAAAAAAAAAAGGGAAAAGGGGGTTTCCCATCCCAAGGGGGTTTGGGGGGGGGGGGGGGGGTCAAAACGCCAGCAAAAGCACTCCAACAGAACATAAAATGAGCGGCGGTCGGCTAACTCGTAACGCGGCCTGGCTGCCCGCCGATGGAACCTTCAGGGCGGCGAGGCCCTCGTGAATAATCCTCCGGGCTGATGGCGCCGTTAAGCTTGATTATTCGGTAATTACGGCGTCCGCATGGCAGCCTCGCCACCCCCCCCCCCATACGGACAGGACGCATTTCTGACAAATAGGAGAAAAATAGACGGGCCTGACAGAAGGCTCAGACAATAAGCAGTGATATACAGGACACAAACAGAGCCACTCAAGGGTTTATCTGACAGTGCTCAGATAGCAGAGCGGCCCCTGTATCCGATGAGATGATTTCTAGTCGGGGGGGGGGGTCCTGCATACAGAATAGCCGCCGCATTATTTATTTACTAGATGTTTTGGGTTGAAACCTTTTAAAGTGATATACTTCAGAGCGCGCCGCTGTAAATCCAGCCCTTAAGACTGGCATTGAGGCGATGTTGTTGGAGGGGGAAATCAGACTGAATTAGAGCAGAAGGGAGGAGAAGCTTTTATTGGGGGGGGGTGGGGGAGGCTGAATGGAAAAACGAGCGATCTCCGAGATGATAGTCATGCAATAAAAGGAGCAAGCTCTGAATACGACGCCACTTAGAATTATCCAGATGAAGTGGATGTCTTGATATCCAGCTAAAATGATGCACCCCACCCCCCCCACCTTGACGGGAGCTGCTTAAAAATCCCACTGCAGGCCACATCCTGCTAAAGATGTTGCCGCTACGTTGAAGGAAATGCACGGAACAAATTGCACGCGCGTATAACGAAAGGCGAACCCCAGTTGTAACTTTAAGGACAGCCACGGGAAACCAGTTTGAGATTTAGATGAAATTAGTTTTCACCAGCCTAGGAAAAGAGATATTACGGAGAGTACTTTCCTGGATCACACAGACGGCGGAAGAACGCGGCGACCGGCGGAGGGAAAATACAGGAACACAGTGATTTACCCTCTATCGCCTGTGAAGTGAAACTCGCAGGTGATGCCGAAATCCGGGCCTTTAGCGAAGAACCTCGGCACACCATGAGGACCCAGCCAAAGTCTCCCCTCCCCCCCCCACCTGGAACCACATCACAGCGAGAGCATCCTCACCGCAGGCCTTCTGTATGAAGTCTATATATGAGAATCAATAAGACCACAAAAGAGTGGCAAGCAATAAACCCGCCTGCAGCTAATGCTAGCGATGAAAATTGATCTTTAATTGGGAAGCGCCGGCATCCCTTACAGAGCGACCTTATCAAACTGCGGTTTAGCATCCTCCATCGTCTGTGCCATCCTACAGTGACCGCGGCCGCGCCTTTCACAGTCGCCGTGATTGAGACCCTGCCCTGACCTCATCCCTCGATCTCTGACCCGAGACCCACTCCATCTCATCTGGGAAATTAATTAAAATTTCAGAGATTGTATCGCGCCCCACCGTTGTCGATGACTGGGCTAAGGTGGGGGGTGAGTTTGATTGATTCCGATTGTACCTGCCCCCGCCTACCCCCCCCCCCATGTCATTCCCTCATGGAGCTCCCCAGATGTCCCCAAACACACGTCCTCGAAGCCGTCACCCTCTGAAGCCTGCAGAAAGTGACAGAATCACCACACCACCACGGTGCGCCGCACCCGGCCGGCCGGCCCGGCCAGAAACGGGCACACCACCGCTGACGGGCTTTTTCATTTAAGGATGGGGGGCTGCTTCCCCCGCAATAAAATTACATTTGCATCGGGGCTGTGTGAGAACGTGGCCGGTGATTTATTGGAGCAATCAGCGCCATATTTGCAGCGCGCGCTGGCTGGGGCGGGCGGCCCGCAGCCGGATCCTGGGACGGGGGCCTGGCCGGCATCGGGCAGATTCTGGCTTTGATTAGATTAGCATTAAACAACACCCTGACAGATATGACAAATAGGTGCATTAGACCATGTCATTTATCCTTCCTCTAGCACGCCAACATCCCCCCCAGTTCCCCAAATATAAGCAGCCAGTACCACACTATGCTCATGGGTAATCTTTGCGGTGTCTAGCTGAGTACAGGGTGAGAGGAAGCACACTGCTCATTATACAGGGTGCGCTGTTGAGTGTAAAGGTAAGGTCCATTGATCAGACTCATTCTGCCTCATGGTGTCGCGTCCAGGGGGTTTGCCACACACGCCAAGAGGGTCCCCCCTCCGCCTGCCTCAGATAACAGTGCCATTATGCTGGATGTCCCTCATTGACAGGCGGTGCCATTGATTTCACACACCTGCTATGATTCCTTCATTTACATTCATGGGCTGTCCATCAGCAAGACCCAAATAAATTTGGCAACATTGCCACAAAGGATGATTGGGGTATTAAAAAAAGGAAAGAAGAAAAGCAATCGATGCAAAGAAACATTCATCTGACGCTAGCGGTCAGAGAGCACGGGCTGTTAACCCGGGTCAAAGGTGTCCGAACGGGTCAGAACCCTTTGACCCCAGCACCGATATCGGTGTTATTAAAGGGCGACTTGTTTTATGGTTTTCAAAGCCGCGGTCGGATTTGGGAGGACGGGGAGCATCGGAGCAGGGCAGTGTGGAGGTGGTGGTCCTCTTACCTGCGAGCACAGCAACATGACCAGTTCCACCACCGAGCTGCTGGACTTCATGCACACCAAACCTGCAGCGAACGAGGGGAAAGGGCATCATCCAAGCGACCGTGACGACAGAGCCCGCGGTGCACCCTTCTATGTACGCCCCGGAGGCAATGGCCAGTCTATCAGGAGCGCGTAGAGCGGACGGTCCGTGGGTGACGCCGGTGGCCCCCACAGCTACCCGCAGGCCACGCCTCCTCATCTGCCCAGTACATGTAACGCATCAAAACCAACATTTTATTTTCCCACCAGGGCCCTTCATTTTGTAAGCTTTAAAAAAAATCCTATTCTGAAAAATAACCACAGTCCAGTTCAGATCCAAAAAGAATTAGTCACTACATGAATGTAAAGACAACCGTTCTAAGTGTCGCTAATCTTGTAGCTTGTTAAAATTTGTTTGTTTTTCTACGATTACATGTAAAATTATTCCTTTTACGGCACACACACACACACACACACACACACACACACACACACACACACACACAGATTCTACAACATCTGCGGGGATGAGTGTATCGATGGATCCAATAAACCGACATAATGTTAACTGTAAACTAATACACATTTGGGCCTTGTATTACAGCTACAAATGTGCCTAGCATATGTCTTATTGATCCATAATACCTGCTTTTGTGTGATTTCCAGAGCACTGGGGCCATCCCATAAGGGGGGGGGGGTGCCTTAGTGACCTCTGCTTTCTCAGTTACTCTGTCCCTCCTGCTATCCATCAAGTTTCCATTCGGCTTCGTGGCAGAACACACCCAAAACACTCTTATTAGCGGCCTGACCCCTGACCCCCTCCTCTATAAAGACCCCCGCCGCAATATAATCAGTTAGTTAAAAGACACTCTGAATGTTTTATGACTTAAATCTGATTAGCGCAGTGCTTCAAAATATTAAGGCGCCGCATTTTTAATGCACCGTTTTTTCCCCCCAGAAGTTTAGGGTCGCATTACAAATTGCTGCGCCGAGACACACATATAGCTTTAGTCGGCTAACTGCGGGGGACGGAGGCATTGGGAGAGTGGACGTTTGGTCAGCCTGAAACACATTGTGTCCCTGGGCCTAATATCCATCCCTGCGTCCAATTCCTAAAGGTTTTGTTAACGTTACCAAGCTCAGCTAGTTGGCTAGAGCCATCCATGCATCTGCGTGCCCAGTACAGGGTTATAGGTAGAGTGTCTGGGGTTTTTCCCAAGCAACACAAGCCAGGGGAACAGCCAGGATGATAAAGCTCCTGGCAGTTAGCGTCTGACAGACATCTTAATTTGCTTACAGTACAGGATTATCCAGCCTGTGTCTGCTGTGCCAGTAAAGATCACATGGTCTGTATGTCTAAGTATGTACAATTTAATACATGCATAACAAGGCAACCACATGCAACCCCATTTAACGGATTGATTAATTGGCAGAGCATGTTCAGGGAAAAGAAAGACAGGCAAAAGACGTAATATTTAAGTATCGGGGCATTATTCATTTCAGAAAGGCATAAACACACCAATATCACCAACATTGGAAAAACCATTTTAACTGGAAATAAATGGGGAAAAATAAGAAACTGATTAATGTTTCTCACAGATAAACAAACATGATTTACATGCAAACCTCAGAAAGGACAGGGGAGGTGAAACATGGCTTGGGTGTGTGTGGTTTTCTATACATTACATTGTGGGGACCCAATGTTCCCACAATTTAATACAAACTTTTTACCTTGTTGGGATATTTTCTGTGTGTGTGTGTGTGTGTGTGTGTGTGTGTGTGTGTGTGTGAGTGAGAGTGTAGGGGCCTTACTGGTGCCCTCGATGAGCAGCTCCTGCCCGTGACTCCCCAGGAGTGTGCGTGACAGGAAGGGGGCAAAGTCCACAAAGATTTCCCTCAGCAGGGGGGCTGCCTTCTCCAGGGCGTGTTCCAGCCGCTCTGAGATGCTGCGTGAAAATTCAGAGAACATCACTCAGATTTCCACCGGTGCCCAAGAGGAAGGCTGCTGTGGAACAATCTGCAGAAAGACGTTGCATCTTCAGACACCCATTTAGTGTGGTTCTGCCGACGGCCATAATTTAAGGAGCGCAAATTTAAGTGAACATGCAGAACCAACACAGTCACCTTCCTCGAGACGTGCGTTTCCTGCACACCGTCATTCTTTCCTTACCACGGAACACACATGGGGAGGGAGTCCTCCGATTCCGGAACAGTCCCTCAGCAGAGGATCACTGTAATTACTTTAACATCACCAAAGCGGCACGGAAAGTATATGAAGGGCTGGGAGGGCGATGACAAATTGGAGCTCTCATTCAGCGAGAATGTAAAAACACAGAAAACAACATGAGAGATGGAGGAGGAAAGTGGCGATTGGGGGTGGGTGTGAGGGCTCCGTTATTGACGGCCAGCCGACGAGAGAGGCGTCACCTCATGTTGGGCGCGGAGTTGCGGCTCATCGGGGACAGGCTGGGGACAGATGGCAGGTTCACACTCACAGATGCCCCGCCTGCAAGAAATCAGAGACACTCGTCATTCATGTGGCTGGACTCACGAAACAGCACCCAGCTTCTTAAAACAGCACTGGGGAATAAACAGACAGATTTCCTGGGCTGGACGGTTTAAAACTTTACCAACAGAGTCAAAAATACCGGCTTTGTTAAAAGGAGAGGATTTCCCATGCAGGAATTCATCAAACAAGGGCTTTTCATTTTTCATTGTCAATTCATGGTGCTATTATAAAGGCAGCCTTAAATGCACCTAGTACCACTTTTTAAAAGTCAATAGCTCCGCCCATCACTTCCCACATCACTTCCTGTCACATGGACATCCCTGGCGGCTTCCATCTCGTTACGTCCATGCCTCTATCTTTTACTCATGCCGATTTACGCGTCTCACTCCTGAAATATTTACACTGCGTGCTACTCTCCCGTACATGACACTCCTAAACCCCTCTAACAATCTTACTGTCAAGGGAGCTCTCATTGATTTAATTGATTCCTCTGGCTGGGTCCCCACCCCCCCAAAAAAAAGGGCCATAAATACATCAGGTGCCCACGTTAATGTGTTTCCATAATTGCCTCAATGCCTTTTCCCAGTTTTCCAGGCCCGGTAACCTCAGAGCGGGAGTAACTCTTCCCGAACGACTGGCGCGGCAGGCCAGAGTCCACGTGGAATGCGGGGCTTGCGGGGTCTGCGGCCTTAACCACAAACATGTGTGCCTGCAGGGCCCCCCTGGGCGTAAATGAAGTAGCTACTTCAAACATGTGGGAGTGGATTAACTTCTCTCCATTAATCTCCACCCCACCCCCCCCCCACCGATAAACTCCCTCCAAGTGACGCTTTAACAGACAGTTACAAGGACATGAAAGGAAACGCAAATAGATTATCTGTGTTTGCCCACTGTCACCATTGTTTGTGGTGGGGGCCGGGGGAGGGAGAGTGAGAGTGAAATCCTCACAGAACTGGCTCACAGCGCAGCTCACAAATTGGCACGAATAAATCTATAATGCTTTCAATTCAGAAGCGGCGCACCTTTAACTCGGAATTAATCAAGGGCATTTCCTGCATTCACTGCTTGTCATTGCACAACTGCATCGCATACAAATAACTAAAAAAACAAAAAAAAAAAAAAAAAACGAACAGAATGGCAAGAAGTACAAGAGCAGGCAGTCATACATGGATCATCATGTGCCCTAATTTAACACTTTTAGATTTTGTAATACAAGTGCAGACTGATGTCAGCTGTCAGAGTTAAGACGTAACAAATATGCTAAGACTACGGTAATCTCGTACGGAAATGATGCTCAGTCCTCTTTCCCTGTGGTGTTACAGGACGGCTGGATTGCGATACTGCCAAGGTGACCGGATAAATAGCCTGGGCGCCCTGGCACAGGGGAGCGAGTCCGTCTGTCCCGGGGGATTTTCACAGCTCAGACAGTAGCATCACCACCACGGGCTACGCGTCTGATCACTGTCAATTACGCCTCCACCTTCCTGTCTGTGTGAAGTGTAGGGGGTGGGGATCTCCTCTCCCTCAGCAGGCACCCAATGCGGCGGCCTGACACCGCACCCTGGACTCGCTTCGCTGTGACTCCCCTCTGACTCCCCTATGACTCAGACACGAGCTGCCTTCCATTTGAACTGGGAAGTCAGAAATTGCCACCTGAACGCCACCTGATGTCGGAAAGTCCTACTTGGAAAGTCAGAAAAACCTCAGAATTCAAGATGGCTGCCCCCTTTATCAACAGAAGCTAAAGCCGTAGTTATATACTGTTTATTAGTACTTACGCCTTATTTGTCTCATGAAATCGGTCGTACACACAGCACTGCCCAACTACTATCTGTGGACATGCTGTTGCTATGGTGTTTGTATGCGCAAAATACCGCGTAATAAGTTATCAACTGGTGTTGCTAACAATGGCTAACAAAGATCCTGTTTCAGAGAGCAGGATTTCTTGCTTAACCAGATAACTTGTCAGATTTAAAGTAGTCTGGGGTAAACATAAAGTGAACGAAGATCTAAGTCATGTACACTGGGGTACCTTAAATCCGAAAAGCTGTCTGGCTAAGCAAGTAATCCTGGCTTTTAAAGCAGGTCCCTGGTTCTGCTAAATGGCTTTCTGACTTTATGTACTGGAAGGCGGTTAACTCAGGTGTGACGTCATTCCCAGCTCTGACTTCCCACCTCCGCGGTAAATGGAGCATAATAGCATAAACACCTCTGCCTTGGCCGGTCCCTTCCCCCCCCCCCCCCCGGAAGCAGACTGCAGTCACATTCCGTCTCCTCCTGTGCTGCGGCTCCTCTATCTTTCAGCTGACCATGCATGCGTGAGTGAGGAGTTTGGCACCGACGCTCACCGGCAACGGGTTCGGCGGCGCCACCCTGGACGCTGGGATCGGGGGCCGCGACAGGGACACTGTCGGGTGCCCCAGCGGAAGCAGGACCGGCGGCTCCTGCAGCAGGTGGGGCGGCTGGGGGGGGCCCGGGGGGAATGGCCCCTGCCTTCTTAGGGCCCAACACAACACTCCTATGGGAAAAAAAAACAAAAGAAAAAAACACTTTAAAAATATTTATGCCAACAGGAATGTATCAAATATTATTTCTACAAAATATTACCCAAAAAATAAGCTGCAATCAAGATTATTATACCAGGTTAAAATTAAAACCATTAAAAACCAAATCAATCGTATCCCATCATATCCAAGCCACTCATAGTGTCACTCCGTGACGTTCTCAAGCAACCAAAAGCAGGAACAAAAACATGGCGAGTGAGCTCATTAAACATACAGTGCCGTTTCCCACTACTTGCTGAAAGCCTGAGGGACGATTAAAGCAGCTGAAACAGGCGATTTAAACATCCCCATAACATAGATGATTCCTGGACAACCTTATCAGTCTCCATTTAAATCAACAGCCATGTCATGATCTAAAACTTTGCTTTATTCAACACTCCAACCTGAAAATGCTCAGCATTTTAATTGGTGGGTGCTGATTTGACATGTAAAAAGCAAAGGATTATGGGTAGCAGTCTTTCTCATGATCCTGCAGGCACGTGTGGCATCTGAGGGGGCACTGTAGAATCCCTCCCCCATCCCCCTCCACCCGCCTGTGCGTTTCCCCCACAGAAAACCTCACGGCCACTAAAGAAGCATAATGGTTTTTGCTACGCCGTGAATAAATGGCCGATTACAGGATCACAGAAGCCACACTCGTTATCGCACAGGGATGCTAACAGTGCTAACCGATGTGGGAGCGGCTACGCCGTCAAGCTGGGTTTAGAGAGGAACACCCCCCCCAATTCAAAGACAGCCATAAACATCAACAGGATCCCCGAATGGTTACGATTTAAGGTGAGGCGGATCGAGGGGAGGGATAACGAGGACGGAAGCGCTCAAACGAAGGCGGCGGGGGAACAATCATTTTTCACTGATGAGAGCCAGGTCTAGCATGTGAAACGCGTGATATATCCTGTTAGGATAACATTAGCGGGCGGGTCACTGACACACCATAACTGACGGTCTGCCTCTCACTCCCGCACAGACGCTGACACCAAAGCGAAAGGTCATCCGCTGAAGGATTCCCCGCAGAATCAGCCGTTTCCAGCAGACGGGGAAGCTGGCGAGAGCTGACCTTTTAATTCCTCTGTACGGCGTCCTTCTGTCAAACGCCTGACACCCAAGACGGCCGCGTTCCCACAACACTGTTTAATTTCAATTAAGCTAATCCAGCCTTAGCCCTAAGCTGAAAATGCGCTCCATTCATCTGCCTGTTGGTTTGCATAATTATGCTATGCTGGCTTCACTACAAAGGAGGGCTTCCCTCATGCTGTTCCAGCCCTTCCTACATCAGCCCTGCTCCTGAACTTCAGATATATGCTGAACCCGCTTAATTATGGCAGAATGATCTGTGAAATGCACTAATTAAAGCACACTGCACCGTGGACTGGTGCGTGCTGACAGTGGCATGCACTGCTGACAATCTGCTCTGGGTGTTGCCATTGGCACTGGATTGCTCTCTGACCTAAATGCAGTGAAAATATCAGTGAGATGGGCGGCGAGCGCCAACAGGCCGACAGGACGGGCATGCTGTCGATCGCAGATCATGGTGGTGGTAGCATAGGAACACTCTGCAGCTTGATTATCTAAATTATTCAATACGTCGTTAGCCACACTTGCCCAGAGTCAACAGCAGGAGATATCAATTAATCAACCCTAAGATCAGCAATTAAACGAGCAGAGAGGTCATCAATAAATGTGCATTCGGGTCAGCAGTGACTGCATTATTCATGCTGTTACCTGGTGCCATGCCAGATGTGTCCACCGTGCTCCGCCATAGAGCACCATCTAACATGTCCCACCCGTGTAAGGCATATTTAGCATGACAACGGGGAGCAAAGGATGCATGCACAAATTCAACCAATCAGAGGGCAAGAGAGTTTCCTGAGCTGTTGAAGACGGGGTGTTTGATTAGTGCACCCATACACCCACCAGCTCCACAGCAAGCATAGTGCAGGGATAGGAGACAGGGCTAAGGGGGCGGGGCAGCTGTCAGGGAAACGCCTACTTTGCACTCTTACATGCAAATACCCCAGGCTGGCATGCAATGGTTACTCAGGATTCCGAGACGGTCTGACGATTCGTGAGTTTTAAAGGGGCTTCCTCTATGCTTTCTCAAAGAACATCCACCTCTAGCCTTCACATCCTGGATACCATAGGCCAATGCTGACCCCTTGCCACTCCAGCACCTGGATGGCACTAAATGAACCCTGTGACCTGGACGGCTCGGTCACATGACCGATCAGATGACCAGGAACTGCGTTTCAGCTGTGGCTTCTCCACACTTCCACCTCACTCCAAAAATCACTTTCGCTGAAAGGTGTCATGTAAATCTGAGCTCCTGCTACACTGCGTTTACTAGGGTCTGGTTTGTATCGGCAAATATTTGCAGACGCTTTGTCAAAACAGGAATATCTCAAGATGATATACAGGCACATACCAGGTGGAAATGTAAAAAATAAATCAATATGATACTTCACCCCTGACCCCAACTATTCTATCTGTGAGATTCTGTGCCACACACAGGAATCATAAATTGTTGATGTCATGCTGAGGATCCCTACGCCGGGGTGACTGTAATGTCAGTGGGTTCTTACCACTGCCTCACACTGCATCTAGTCAATCGTGAAACATTAAGTCAATCGTTCTGTCGGATGACACCTGATCATGAGGAGTTTGTGCAGCTACTGAGTACTGAAAGTCACCCCCCCTCCTTTTGACCAGAACCTGTCGAATTTGTCTTGGGTCCTTTAAAGTCCGTCGAGGAGAAGTAACATCCTCAACCCCGTGCAGAAGCTGGCCTATCAAGACCAGTTCCGAGGGGTCTGTAAATTTTGCTGGTTCATTCTAACACATTCTCCTTGGGTCAAAGGTCAAATTGCTCATACTTTTGACATTCCTCAAAAACGAAAAGCTAACTAGTAAAAAAATTAAATAAAATCCTGATTCAGATTATATAAATATATACTTGGTAAAGCTCTTTATTCGTCCATGTTGATATAAAAATAAAATTCCACAAAGCCGTCCCCAAGCCCTGGGCCTTCAGAGCAGGGGGTTGGGCATATGGGGGGGGCACAGAGATAATGCTGGGGCGTCCCAAGTGGATCCCTCTGGAGATAAGGAGGCCTCGTCGGCCCACAGATGGAGCTGCGGGGCCCC